TGAAGGCAACTAAGAAGTCACTAGAAAAAAGAGCAATTGGCAGTAGCCTCTATCTCATTAATTCAACCGACACCAGTGGCATGTCTTAGTGGCTCTGTTTCTCTTCTCTTTTTCTCCCAACACTCTCCTAAGAATTCCTAATGTTCCTTTTCTTCTAGAAGTAATTCTATAGGCACGGTTACTAAATTGGACTTGTTAGCAGCTTATCTCTCTTGATGTGTATCATTTCCTTTACTGAATTTATTTCTCTTTAAAAGTTACACTGAAGCACTCCAGGGAGTGGTGCCCACGTGTAATCGTGCTGTGTGGCTCAAGAGACACCTGAGGGGGCGTGGCGCTGAGGAGTGGTGTTCCTTGTTGATTCCCATATGGCCCTGCTTCCTGTTGAGAAAGCCCACCTGCATTACCATAAAAGAAGTATCAGATCCTTGATGACTTGGTTTACATACATTTTTAAAAAGCTTCTTACAGCTAGGTGTTACCCTGCCTGTCGTGTTAGACTCAGTATAACAGCAGATGTCGCTTCCTGTGTCAGGAGCCGCGCTTAGCATAGCGTTAACTTTCTTGTAACCTACAGTTTAAATTCTTAGGACTCATTGCACTTGGATTCATTTAGTTGAGTATTAATTAAGCAAATGGGGACTGAAGAGAGACACCTCTTCTAATTCTAGAAGGGATTTTGAAAAACTTTGGTTTGGGGGCTGGAGAGATGGCTCAGCCATTAAAGGCTAGGCTCACAACCAAAAATATAAGAGTTCGGTTCCCAGCACCCACGGCTGTCTCTCCAGCCAGAACAAAAAAAGAAAAAAAGAAAAACTTTGGTTTGGGAAGGTATTTTGTATTAGAGGAGAGTATCAATAAGTCGTCGGAGTGGTTTACGAGTGTGTCTACCCAAAGCGTTCTGGCTAACGGGCTAGTACATTACCAGGAATTGTGTTATAAAAATATAAGTTTTGGCTGGGTGGTGGTGGCGCACACCTTTAATCCCAGCACTCAGGAGGCAGAGGCAGGTGGATTTTTGTGAGTTTGAGGTCAGCCTGGTCTACAAGAGCTAGTTCCAGGACAGGCTCCAAAACTACAGAGAAACCCTCTCTCAAAAAACCAAAAAAAAAAAAAAAAAACCAAAAAAAACAAAAAAAAAAACCCACAAGTTTTGTTTTGATCCTGTCTCAAAAGAGTCAGGAATGGTTCAGGAATCTTTGTTTTTTGACCAAGTTCTTATTCCAGTTTACATCCTTTCATAGCTATACAAAGCAAAACAGAAATTTAATAAGCAAACTAAATATACTAAAACCGTGAAGGATATTAATTTAGCCAACAGGTTCTAAGCATCGCACTGTTTTCTAGGGATTCAAAGATGAAAGGCACATGACCCCTGCTCTCTCAAGCTCACATGAGTGTTCAGTAAGACAGTGCAGACAGTGAGGTGACAGCGATGTAGACAGAGAGAGTTAGAGAAACATAGAGGAGAACCTAACACGGCCGGGCTTGGGATGTGAGGGAAAGCAAGGTCAGGAGGGGTTTATGGAAGTAGCTAAACTCTTTCATAACAGATCACTTGCTCCCTATTTAAATAGTTTTGCTTAGAAACTTTCTAAAATATATCATATATTTCCATGTTTTTTTCTTTTCTTTTTTGGTTTTTTGAGACAGGGTTTCTCTGTAGCTTTGGAGCCTGTCCTGGAACTAGCTCTTGTAGACCAGGCTGACCTCAAACTCACAGAGATCCGCCTGCCTCTGCCTCCAGAGTGCTGGGATTAAAGGCATGCACCACCACCACCACTGCCTTAACCTTTTTTGTTTTGATGATTTGGTGTAGTCGTGTGTTATCAGTCTTTTTATGTCATATACCAAAATAGCAGTACTTTTTATTGCCGTATGTAACATTAATTTCCATTCTCTAAAACAGGCCCAATGTTTGTGACTTTGCTGTCATCATGTTATCTTGTTGTTTTTGTCTGTTCCTTATCTTCTTAATGTCAGTTGACTATGTATAGAGTACCACATGTACTCAAACGCTTTCCTGGCCAAAGGATTTAGAACTAAGTGAATACAGCAAAATACAAAGCATTCCGTTGAGTATAATATGTAAAGTTTAGTGGATTTTATGAAATCTTTTAAATAGTTAAGTTGTCTTTTTTATCATTATTATTGTAAAGCCAATAGATGCTTTATAGATACACAAAACATCTCTTTCATCAGAGGCTCAGCAACGCCAAGGCTGGTTCATGGTAATCCAGAGGTATAAGCCCAATACCAGAATAGCTCCATTCTATAGAATCAGCAGTTCTCCAGTTGAGAGTTACAGCAGAATCATTTGGAGATTTATATGCTAGGTCTCACCCCCAGAGAACCTGATTCTGCTAGCTTGGTGAATATTTTTCTGTATTGTAAGAGAGGGAAGGAGTACTGAAGTGTGGGGAGTCAAAGTCCCACAGTAAAGCCAAAGCCGATTTCAAATGCATAATCCTGCCTCAACCTCTCCAACACTGAGATTACACGTGTACAACCCACCTGGCTCTCTATATTTATTTCTAAGTTCCTTTGAAAAGTCTGCTGTGTACCCTTGAATCGTTATACATCAGATTATTGTATATCAGAATTTGCTCCAAAATAGTTAAATAAGTAACAAAAGCCTAGATCATGAGGAATAAAAAGAGAGCTTGAAATTTATTGTGACTGAGAAAGCCATTGGACTCACTTGGATTTTAATGTAATCCTTCTAACTACTTTGTGGAAAACAAATAGGTGAGGGAATGCTTCTTGTAGGGAAACTAAGAGACCGTGTTAGTTAATTCAGGCAAAGAAGTAAACAGGGACATCTCCCTAAAGGGTAATAGTTGAGGCGGTGACCAAAGGGCCAGGATTTGCTGACAGAGCAGTTGTAGTGGGGAACGAATCAAAGTTCACTCTAAGGTTTTGACTCCAATATCAAAGATATCTCAACAAAAGGATTGCCTCTTGTCAAGACTGTGAAAACCGGTAGAGGAATAGGTTTGGGAAAAAAATAAGGATATCATATTTTTTTCGGTAAATTAACTCTGCAGTACCTATTAGACATTCCTAGAGGTAGCCTGGTTAATGTGGTAGTCTGAAATCCCCAGGATTTATGTAAACTTTTGATTCATCAACATACATAAAACCGTAAGAGTAGATCAAATTGCCAGAGAGCAGGAATGGAAAGAGAAGAAATAGGCTAGGATACTCCAGCAGCAGCAGGGAGAGAAGTAAGGACCACCGAAGCGACCAGGCGGTGAGATGGGAGGAGCCAGAGTGGTGTTGTCGGGGAGAGTGCGTGAAGACAGGCTGCAGAGCCCCGGGGAAGTCAGTGTGGAGATAACGGGCACCCTTGATCAGAAATGGTTCAGTAGGAAGATGTTGTGAAGATCATATAGGAAGGAGCTCTAAAGAGATGTGATTCCAGGGGATCGATGCCCTTTTCTGACCTCTGTGGATACCAGGCATGTGCATCCATACATGGAGGCAAAACACTTGGGCACATAAAATAAAAATAAATAAGCATTCGAGAAAAGGCGTGTGAGAGCCAGTAAGATTGCACAGCGTGTAAATGTGCTTGCTGCAAAGTCTGATGGCCTGAGTTGGATCTCTGGTTCACTCTGTGGAAGGAGAAAACTGACTTACACAAGCTGTTCTCTTGACTGCTACCTGTGTTTCATGGTATGTGCCTCCCAGATAATAGTAATTGTTAGACACTTACGTGTATAAGCTGCACCGTGAAATCTCAACAATGTTGTTACCTAAACAAGACCCACATAAACGTCCTACCAGTTGCCGTGCTAATGTGGATGGAGGAAGAGCTACAGGTCAGCAGTGCTGCTAAGAAAGGGAGCACCCATGGTAGGAGAGCCAGTCCCAAGCAGTCAACCCAAAACACACTCTCCATACAGGAACACTAAATAGACCAAGTAGATTGTATGAATACACACACGCATACACACACAATAACTCAAGCCTTGAATTTGAGAAGTTGTGGGGTCGGAGGGCAGACACAGTAAGGATGGGAGAACAGGAGAGGGAAGGATGCAAATGTAAACACAGTACTCATATATTGAATTCTTAAAAAATAAAAATAAAACTTTTACATTAAAAAAAACGAGGAAAAATAGAGCTGGAAATAGGTAATGGTTTGGAGACCTTCCTCGGAGAGGGAGCAGAGAAACAGCATGGTAGCTGGCAGAAGACAAGGCACCCTTGTATGTTGTGGAGAATTATCCAGCCAAGGAGGAAATGCCATGCTCGACAGCGAGAAGAATGTGTGACTGCGTCTGTACAGGATGAAATTTTTACTGCACAGAAGACTCAGATTTAGCCTGAGGGGCGCAGACAGCCTAAGGTAATAGCAGGAGGAAAGTGATCCTATGGGCATACATTCAAGGAGGTAGAAAAAGCGGTGGAGGAAGTTCTTTTATTGTTATTATTCTAGCCTAGGAAACCAAGTTAACTCTATTGAGTCTAGAGAAGAGATACTGGAAATTTCCAAAAGAAGCAAAAGTATGAAATTATTATCAGGACAAGAAAGTGGACAGCAGAATTGATGGATGACTCCAAGGGCACACTTGAATTTGAAAAGGACTCAGACTACTAGGATGTAGTTTTCTGAGCTACGCATTCAGGAAAGTGAATTCTGGGGGCACAATAAAGGAGGAAGAGGCTCTGGCCAGGGTGGGAGTTTTGTCAGATGAACGCGGCTAAGAAAGATAGAGTGACAGAGAATGGAAGAATGGGCCACAGTGTGCTTTGTGGGAAGGAACTAAAGCTTTGAAAGTGGAAGAGAATTATCAGATGTTCATCTCAAATATAGGGTCAAATAGGGTGGGAGATTAGAGTTGTCTAGTGAGGGGCAAGCATGGAAAATAGGGGGTGACGAGCAGAAAGAACCAGAGGGCAGGTGCTGTAGAGATGGCCATTGCTTTAAACCAAATGAGGGTGCTCACCAGTTTGTGTGGTGGGTTTAATGATGGCTTTGATTAATCCATTAGGTTCATGACTACAAAGAAGGAACTCCAGAAGAGAAGACATACTATATAGAATTGTGGGATATTGGAGGCTCTGTGGGCAGTGCCAGCAGCGTGAAAAGCACAAGAGCGGTGTTCTACAACTCTGTAAATGGTGAGTGTTTTCATCTCTGCCGTATGTTAGAGTCTACAAGTGTGGATCGTTGATGTGAAATGCCTTGACATGCTGGCTTATCTTCCTGTGAGAAAGCTGGTGTGCTTAACGATTTAAATCTGCGTGTCACAGTCTAACTTATTAGCCTCTGGTGTCTGCTGGAGGCATTGTTGCCTTGCTATAGGGTCACTTCATTTTTACTTTTTTATGTATATGATATATATTACATGTAATAAAAATATTTGAAGCTCAACAGTAGTAGTTGTCCATACGTCTCTTTCCAAAGGTCTTTGATGCTGTTCATCCCTCTCCATACTCTTTCCTCAACCCTGCTCTTTCACCCCAAACCAAGTTTTACCTTCCTGTCCCATCCTTCCCTTTTAACCCTTAATACCAGTTCATTCTATGTCATCTCCCTTTAAACCCCCTCCCCATGACCCGTTAGTAATCCCCCAGCCTCTGTAGATATTCCAGATGGACTGTATCTGAGAATAAGTACCATTTCTTTCTTCCCACTCTGATGACCCAGGCTACCGATCTCGGTAGAAAGTCTGTGGAGTGTCTCTCCAGCCTCCTTAATTAGAATATATTCTCATCAGATGTCAGTCCGACTCGATCAGTTGGCCCTAGCACTTCAGCTTAAATGAGAAAAGAAGACATAGAAAAAGAATGCTCAGACACCCTTAAGAACTCAAAAGCATTCCCTAAAGATCATCAAGACATCAAATTCTGAAGTTTTGTTTGTTTGTTTGTTTGTTTCTGGTTTGTGGTTTTGCTTTTTGTCCATCTAGTAGCCAGCCTAGGTGAAAATATCTCATTTTTTATGCTCTGGTGAGATTTTATTCAGCTTTTCTATAATCTTTTGCTATCAGATTGACGACAAATTCATGTTACCTAAAAAATATGTTCATCTAAACATGACCTACACGACAACACCAGTTGGTGAACCAGTGTGGATGGAATAAGTTTCCCAAGGCCCTGCCTCTAGACAAAGAGCTACAGGGCAATTAGTGACCACTAAAAGAGAATCTGTTCTCTCTAAGAGAGAATCCACCTTCTCTAGGGATGATCCCGATAGCTTGTTCAAGCTCAAGTGGTCAGCCATGAACACATAAACAAGCAGCAATGCAAATATACTCAGTAGGCTGTATTTATAAATATATACTTGTGTAACACTAATTAAAGAGGAAGCTTGAATTTGCGAGGGAATGTGGGGGGAACAGGAGAAACGGAGGGCATATCAGAAAGGGTAGAAATTATGTAAATATTGTACTCATGTATGAAATTTTAAAAAATAATTTAATTAAAAAAGAAAGAGTATGGCTGAGCAATGGTGGCACATGACTTTAATCCCAGCACTCAGGAGGCAGAGACAGGTGGACATCTGTGAGTTCGAGGCCAGCCTGGTCTACAAGAGCTAGTTCCAGGACAGGCTCCAAAGCTACACAAAGAAAACCTGTCTTGATAAATAAATGAATAAATAAAATAATAAATAGAGTGTGAAAGTCTATGGTTCTTGAATCACAAGATGATGTTCTAAATTCCAACATGCACTGAAGTTTTTTCTTTTACCTTTGCTTTTCTGTCCAGGACTTTAGTTGATCTATTTACTTGTATTGCTGAGCCGTGTTACATTTTTTTATTTTCTTCAATCTCAAAAAATCCATATCTTTTCTACTATTCATACTTTTTAAATATTTATTTCTAATTTTTAAAAATTTTATATAGTTTTTTAATATTTTATGTTTATTGATGTTTTGTTTGCATATATATCTGTGTATCATATTTATGCTTGATGCCTGCAGAGGCCAGGTAGGCGCATCTGATCCCCTGGAACTGGAGTTACAGACTCTTGTGAGCTGTCATGTGAGTGCTGGGAATTGAACCTGGGTCCTCTGGAGAACAGTCAGTGCTTCAACCACTGAGCCATCTCTCCAGCCTGCATTCATACTTGACTACGTCCCCTTACTATCTCCTAGTGGCGTGTGTCTTTGCTAATTGAGACGAGATTGAGCATATTCACAGTAGTTTGACTGTAGACTCTTGCCCTTTTACCGAAATCAGTTCATTCTCCCTTCATCTCTCTCCTCCGTTTTCTTTTCTCCTCTCCTCATTTGCCTTTTAAGTCAGGGTCTCACTATGTTGCCTTGGCTGGCCCCAAACTTAAGTTCTCCTGCTTCAGTTTACCAAATGCAGGAGTCTAAGCATGTGTCACTACAATGGGTTAACCAAATCTCTTAAATTAACAAGCTTCCATAGCTAGCAATGAATTCAAAGAACAACAAAATTAAATTCTTGAGCGGTTGAAATTCAAATGATCTACAGCTCAATGTTTTGTTTATTAAAGAATAACAACTGAGGAGCTAGAGAAATGGTTCAGCAGTTAAGGACACTGGCTGCCTTTGGAGAAGACCCGGCTGATTCCTAGCACCCACAGGGCAGCTCTCAGCTGTCTGTAATCTCAGCTCCAGGATATCCACTGCCCTCTTCTACCTCCACAGGCATCTGCACACATGTGTGTATGCACCGACGGACACACAAACACATAAATAGAACTGAACATTTAAGAACAGAAGGTTAGCCATTGAGCTAGAAGTGTGGCATATATATCTCAGATCTGAGAGGAAAAGGCAGGAGTATGAAGAATTCCAAACCAGACTGGGCTACACAGTGAGCCAAACCAGTATCCCCAGTGTAGTAAAACCCTGGATTTGTTTTTTACAAGGAAAAACTGAAGTTATAAAAATTAAAACGGTGCTATTTTAATACATTTTACCAGTCCAGAAACAGTATAGTTTTTGAATGGATATAATCTGTTAATAAGTAATGCTCCTCATTGGTGAAGTGCTTCTATAGCAGTTCCGAGCATGAAGTTGGCACTCAGGGGCTGCTGGATGAGAATATCAAAAGACAGTCTGAATATTTTATGGCATTCTGTTAGCCTTTGGGGAATAAAAAAGAAAACACTTTTAAAAGTATATTTGTAGCCAAGCTTTATAGTTAGTTATTTGGTTTATAGTTAGTTTATAGTTAGTTGTTTGGAAACTTTTGTAAAGAACATTTTGAAATGTTTGTCTGATTTTGTTAGTCATACTTGAATACTAGATCACTAAGGCCCTAAGATTTGTACTTACTGTGTTTGTCCTTGTTGATTGTAAAGTAAGAGATGCTGATGAATGTTGACATCATTTTACATATTCATTTTAGGTATTATTTTAGTACATGACTTAACAAATAAGAAGTCATCTCAGAACTTATATCGTTGGTCATTAGAAGTTCTCAATAGAGATTTGGTTCCAACTGGAGTCCTGGTGACAAATGGGTAAGCTAGGAATTACTTTACAATTGGTTTTAAATATGTTTGCAATCCTGAGAATTCACTTTACAAAATACAACTTTGTAACATATGTGATTTGACTCTATATTTTAGCCTATACATAGTCTTTCCATTTTCTGAATGGCATCTTTCATGGCAGTGGTTTTTATTTTGTTGAAATCTAATTACTTAGTTTTCCTACTCTGGATTTTGCTCTTGGTATTACATCTAAGAATTTTTTTGTTTGCTTAATTTCAGATCATACAGATTTTCTTCAGTTTTTTTCTATAGGTCTTATAAATTGGGGTTTATATTAGATTTCTGGTCTGCTTTGATTTGTATGTAATATGTGTGATTTGGGCTTATCAGTTTTAAATTTGAATGTTGCTGTTCCATCGTTTGTTAGCAAGAGTACCCTGTCTCCATTGAGTCGCCTTCATCCTTTGACAAAATCGGCTGACCGTGTTTGTACAGGTCGGCTTCTGTACTTTTTTCTATTGATCTATGTGTCTACTCCTTTTGAAACCATGAGCCTGCGTAAATATTTCCTCCTGAGAGTTCTGACAATGTAGCTCAGTAGAGCTATTCCCTAGCACGCGTGAGGCCCCAGGTTCAATCTTTACCACCAGTTTAAATATAAAACAGCAAGATCAAAAGTCCTAGTGTGTCTTTAAAGTATATCTCTTGGATCTTGAATCTCTTTTCAATGATAGTTACAGTGTTGAAGAGATGTAAAACTATTGGTTTTGTTTCTCAGAGGGTTATTGTGCATATAAAATGATAGGGTTTGAGGGGAAAGTGCTAGTCATATCTGTCCATAGTAAAATTCTCATATCAGTATTTTATGTAACGATTTTAACATGATTTCAAGATCTAATTTCAATTTGGATGATGATTTTTTATGAAAGAGGCGATAAGGAAAACCAAAATCAATCTGGTACAATTTTCTTTTAAAATTAATATTTAGGAGATGAGTCATTGTATACATTTATGATTCAGTGAATATAGCTCTTGATGAAACAAAGAACTAAAATGGAAGATGAGCAAGCATGACACATATACTTACAGGATAATCTATAGGAGCTTATATAAGGTCCAGATAGTGGCGAGTGTGTGTCAGAGATGGGATTTGATAGAAAACACAAATCTTCCATAAGAGAACCTGTCTGTGAATATAAGAAAAAGAAATAATCCTGAAGGAAGGCACCCCGAAAACATCATCCTTTAGTCATTCAGATTTCAGTTCAAGCCATGTCTCTTAAGTCAGGTGTGTGTAGGGAGGAAGAAGGTGCTAGCTCATAGACCTTGAACTTGAGCTGTTATTGGCTTCGATGCAAATAAAACAGATGGTGATATTTATGTGAGATGGGCTACATAGTTCAAAACATCTGTGTTCTGAGGTGGAACTATAGCTGAGGTCTGTAATGCCGTTGTAAAGGATGGAGAGATGTAGTAACCCTCTGCTCCCAGCCCACTTTAGATTGCTCAAAAAGAAAGAAAACGGCTAGAATAGAAGAGAAGCTGTGCTCCCGTGGGTTTTATTGATTAAATTATGCAATATTGATTGTTCAAAAGCAGATTTTGCTGACTGTTGTAAATAGAGCTTATAACATGTCAGAAATTTAGATCTATTTTGCTTCTAATAGGTGAATAGAATTTCAATTAATTAACAACAATAGACTTTATGTTCCTTTCAATAATGAGAAATATCATTCGTATTGCTACTCAATCCTTTGGGTAAAAATGGAAATAAAATGAATTATAATAGACCCCCTACCCTTCTATCTCTGAGGGATTCTAATAGTCGATCCTTTGTCCCTCATGGCTGTCATGTTAGGATAATTATTTGCTTTTTTTGCCTTTTACTATTTTAGCATTTCATCTGTTTTCCCTCCACTCCCATTCTGAGCTGTAGTCTCACTAGCCTGCAGCTAGCCTACTTCTTTGTACTCAGAAAACCACTCTTAGGCAGGAATGCATAGGAAGGGTAGAGAATTTGTGCTTGAAGTACCTGCATTGCACGCTAGGCCCCTGGGTTTTCCTTACACTGAGCTTCAAATCCACTTTCTGCCTCTACATTGAAAATTTTTGAAGCTGATACCTGTTGAAGACAGAGCATTGTTGGGCAGTTAAGTCACATTAGGCCCTCAGTGATCCAAGTTATTATTTGTTAGAAAGACATACAGGAAAGATGTTGAGTAACAGAATGGGTAACTGGAATTCAACAGATGATGAATTGAGCACATGGAAGGAATTAGGAGAAAAACTTTCTAGGTGGTGATGAGCAGGAATTAGTTAATTATCACTGAAATTGTGTAAGTGTCTTGCATTTGACTAGTACACGTCTACATTGGAAAGGTAAATTCCATTCACCTCTTCCTGGTTATTTGTCACAGGGATTATGACCGAGAACAATTTGCTGATAACCAAATCCCACTGTTGGTAATAGGGACCAAACTGGACCAGATTCATGAAACCAAGCGCCATGAAGTTTTGACTAGGACTGCTTTCTTGGCTGAGGACTTCAATGCTGAAGAGATTAATTTGGTATGTGTTTTCACTAATGTGTGTCTGGGTGATATTCTAGTCATAGAAGCATCATACTCAAAGCAGAGTCCCCAAACACAGAGCAGATCATGTTCTGCATCAGGATGTCACGTGAGGGTCTCTCTCGCTTGGAACTTGCGCACTGATCTGTTGGAACTCTCACTGAACAGTACAAATCATAGAATCTTTCTTGAGAAAACCTAAAAAGGATACCAAATTCAAGAGTCATATTGATTAAGGTGACACCATATGTTAGTTATTGTTTTTGAAAAAAAACCTTAATCCCAGCACTCAGGAGGCAGAGGCAGGTGGATGGCTGTGAGTTCGAGGCCAGCCTGGTCTGCAGAGCGAGTTCCAAGGCATTCAGGGCTACACAGAGAAACCCTGTCTCAAAAAACAAAAAAGAAAAGAAAAAAAAAGAAATAATCACACAGAAACTGTATTAATTAAATCATTGCTTGGTCCATTAGCTCTAGCTTCTTATTGGCTAATTCTTACACCTTAATTTAACCCATCTCCATTAATCTGTATATCGCCACATGGTAATGGCTTACTGGGTAAAGTTTCGGCTACATGGCTTCTCTCTGACTCTGCCTCCTTTATCCCAGCATTCAGTTTAATTTTCCCCACCTACCTAAGTTCTGCCCTATCAACAGGCCAAGGCAGTTTCTTTATTCACCAATGGTATTCACAGCACACAGAGGGAACTCCCACATCAAAAGGGCAGCTGAATATGGGAGTTAAAAATAGAAAGACACCAATAACTCTAAAACCTCCAACTGGGACCACGTGACAGCATTAGTGCTAGCCACTGTCTCCTGCCTGAATTTGCTGAAGCCTCTGGAGAAGTATGAATCTAACATGCATATATCAGAACTGAAGTCGGAATTTCCTTTTGTGGATGCAAATGCAAACTGTTTGAATAAAAATGGTGCTGGGGTTCTTGTGTATAGTACTGTTCCTCATGGGTGTCTGCATAGCATATAGTCATTTCCACGTTCAGATTCTTGGTTCAGTTATATTAAACAAGCTACATAGAGCTATTCAGACTTTCCCTCAGCCATGATCAATGACAGATGACTCTTTCAGCTCCAAAATTTTACCCTAAAAAGCATAGTTTCAGATTTCCTGCTCAGCTTGAATTGTGGGGCCCAATAGTTAATTTTTATGGGGAAGATGGGAACTTGTTTGTTTGCTATTTGATTTAGGATTTTTTTTTTTGAGGGTTTTGTTTTGTTTTGTTTTGTTTTGGGTTTTTTGTTGTTGTTTTGGTTTGGTTTTAGTTTTTTTGAGACGGGGTTTCTCTATAGCTTTGGAACCTAACCTGGAACTCACCCTGTAGACTAACTAGGCTGGCCTTGAGCTCACAAAGATGTGCCTGTCTCTGCCTAAGTTTCTACCCAAGTGCTGGAATTAAAGGCGTGTACCACCACCGACCAGAATGGGTTTTTTTTGTTGTTTGTTTGTTGTTATTTTGGTTTGGTTTTTGGTTACTAAAAAAAAGTAATTTTCACTCTTACTTAGAGTCATCATTTAACATTCTGATGATGAGGTAATCACTACCCATTTTGCTAAAACATCTAATGCAGATCTAAAGTTGATTTCTTGTCCATCCCAACTGTTACAGAAATTCAAACATTATTGCAAATACAGCAGAGTGCACAGTGTATACCAAGGTATACCTCCACATGTGGGGTTGTCTGTGTTATAGTAAATGATTTTATACTTAAAAATTTATTTTTCTGAAAATGAAGAAGAGAAGCAATATCCCAGTGTCCACTGTGTGACAGGCTTGCAGGATCTCACTGGATCTCACAAATGTACGTGCAATTGTCCCCTTTCACAGAGGAGTGAGCACAGCTTTAGCGCCATAATGACTTCAGCAGGCTACACAATCTGCAAATGTTGGCACAGATATTTAAATGCAGAGATTACTGACTTCCAAGAATCCTGATATCCCTAGTATTTTATGATCTTTGGAAACTGATATAATTCCCTCCTACCCTCTGTCTTTTTCTTTGTGTGTATGAGGCAGGTGGAGAACTAATATAGTTTCTGGCCATTGTTTAAGTATGACCCATGAAATGCTGTGTATGAACAAAAGAAATTGCATTTAAATTTATTAGAAAGAAGCATATGGGCCTGGTAGCTACAAAACATCATTATTAAATATAATAAGAGTAATTTCAAATTTCTCAAGGGGCACGGGGGACCACATATGTGCACAAGACACTTATCCTAAATGGTGTCTGCACAGTTTGGTCTCAGTGGCGTTTGAGGCAAGCATCAAAGCCTACTCCATCTGTTGAGAGGAGCAGCACTGGTGACGAGCAAAGGTGGTGTAACGCTAGCGTTTGCAAGCGGTTATGTTGACTTTAGTGTCCCCAGTTGTCTCCTTCCTCTGAGCTCTGTGTTTTCCTGTCTAAAGAATCTTACTAAATGATAATAATAATATATTTCTTGCTTACCATTATCAAAACCTGCGTGTCTTTGCAGTGTATGGAGAAATCCTTGGCAAATGTTTGTTCTTTGGCCCGCTATATCTTTTTTTTTCATGTTTCTAACTATTACTCAGCCTGCACAGTACTTCATTAGTTGAGCACGTGGTTCCTGGCCTTAAACAAGTGTGTCCTGTTTGTAATGATTCTAGTTCTGGTTTTCAGAGTAAGCATATGTAGGTCACTTGATCAGTCTCTCGGTTTGGCTAATAAACTGCTAGTAATTCAGCCGCCTTCAGGAATTATTTGATGGTGAGTATGTTGATTCAGTATCCTCCGGTATTGCTCAAATGGCAAAGACTACATGGCTTTACCTTTGCTGGTGCTTTCCTGTTCGTACATCACGATCTGAATATCTCCTTGTATTTTCTGAGAGTTCTGACCATTTAGCATTGGGAAGGTACGGTGGGATTGGTTGCACTGGAGCTTCACTTCCTGGTTTTTCTGTGCGCCCCTTTGTTTTCCAGGATTGCACAAACCCACGCTCTTCAGCTGCAGGCTCCTCCAATGCTGTCAAGCTCAGTAGATTTTTTGATAAGGTAATGGCTTCAATTAAGTTATTTTTAAACTTAACATATGATAGCTTAAACTCTTTGTGAAATGCTGTATTCTTTTGTTCCTTTGCCCAAAACTGCACAGCCTGAATACCTGTTTTGATCTCTCTTATCTGTTGGAATAATTGCTCAAGGCCTGATGACGTACTTATTCCATCACTGACAGTCTCTAAGCAAAGAGTAAAGGCTGTTGGATTCAATTGGGGCTCTCAAAAAGGTATCAGAGTCCTCTGTAAAAAATCTATAGTTACCCATATGCTCTTTGTGTAATTACTCACTACTCCATGTCCCAAAAGGCACTGACCAGAGAGATTAAAGCCCTTTATTCTCTCAGCTATTAATATTTTCCATGTAAATGTTACTATTTGTTTGTAAAGTAAGCATGACTCCTTGAATCTATTGTTTCCGTATGAGAAGGTTCACATTTCTAGTGTAGCTCCCTCTTGCACTGAACTGGAATGAGACTGTAGTGTGGCTCAGCACACTGGCCGGTTAGAGCAGTGGTCTTCCTCATCTCAGGGCTGTGCAGCTGCCTTACCTAGTGCTGATTTTGCATAGCAATGTAATATAGGACTTTTTCTGCATTCATTACTGGAAAAGATTAATCTCTGTATTAGATCTATTTTAAATGTGGTCTCTTTAAAAAAAAAAAAAACTTTGGTGCTGGAGAAATTGCTCAGTGGTTAAGAGCAGTTGCTGCTCCTGCAGAGGACCCAGATTCAGGTCCCAGAACCCACATCAGTTGCTCATAACCTCTTATAACTCCAGCACCAGTGATAATACCTTCTGGCCTCTGTGTTGTACACACAGTCAAGCAGGTACACACACATGTAACACATATAAATAAAAATAAGTTTTAAAATTTAAGAAAGACACTTGCCTTCTTACAGATCTTCCATTCAGAACATTTTTCTTTAACTATTTGAGTCTCTAATATTCAGAGCCCTTTTCAGTATGTTGCTATGAGGTCCAATCCCCTAAGTGTCCAACAGGGAAATTTATCTCACTCACAACTTATTAACCGGGGTGTGGCAAAAAGGAAGAGATGTGCACAGACCCTGATTGTCACAGTTCTCAGAACAGCCAGCCCTTCAAGCAGTGGACTAGGAGATTGACAGCTTCCGTTCACTGCCCTGCTGCACAGAGAGCAGCATCTGGCGGGGGAAGTGATGCAAGGAATTGTATTTTCTCTCCACGTTGTTTTCAACCTAAGATGTTGCAGCATTTGCTTGATTTAGGTCCAGGTTCCCATCTAATACAAACTCCTGTCCTAAGACAACATTCTGTAGATCTCTGTTGGATAGGGAAAGGTCTCTTAATATACTTTTAGATGTTTGGTTTTGGTTTAATTTGATTTGGTTTGGTGTTTCAAGACAGGGTTTCTCTGTGTAGGCATAGCTGTCCTGGAACTCACTCTCTAGACCACCAGGCTGACCACCAACTCAAGAGATCAGCCTGCCTCTGCCTCCCGTGTGCTGGGATAAAAGATGTGCACCACCACCACCCTGCTTGTTTTAAGTGTTTTTTTAAGATTAAAATCTGTAGGTCCCATTCTAGAGAAATAATAGATTTTAGACTGCCATGACCTAAGCTCTCAGCAATGCTTTATTTAAAATAAATAAATAGTACTTTGGTTGGATCTAAGAAAGGAGCAACATGCATAAGAGGACCTTGTAAGTTGGGGGTGAAGAATTCTCAACAACAGAGAAAGCTACCTTTGTTGTCTACATCTCATAGAGTCTATCAGAAAGGAGACTGCCTGGTTTGTACAACATGTCCTGGATATGAAAGCGAAACACCTGGCAATACAGTTTGTCCTTTGTCTGTGGATTAAACCTTCCAGAATGCCAGAGGGGTCGAAGTCCTCTGGATTTTCTCAGCTGGTCGTAATTTTGCGCCAGAATAAGGTTTTTCTGTCCTGCTGAGAATGGAAAAGAACTCAGTCTTTTGGAGGCTCAGGGGGCTTGGTGTTTCAAGATTATTCTAACTAGAAACCAGCTTTTCGGCCTCAAAGGCTGATGGATGCATCTTTGCCTTGGGTCTCTTGTGGCTTAAATACTAACCCAGACATAGTCTTCGAGAGAGAAAGAACCTGAATAGTGTGTGTTTTAGTCTATTGTGAGCAGGCTGCCCCAGGCCTGAGAGGACGCCGGGCTCTCAGTCAGCACCCTCAATGTCATCACGCCAGATGTGAATGCCTCAGTCTGTGCTCACAGAAGGGGTTTTGTGTTTTATATAATACTCTCCATCACCTGAAAGCGTGATTCTCAAACCCACTGTGTTAGGGCATGTTCTATGAGCTTTCGCCAGCTGCAATGTATATCCACTGCTTCAGCCCATTCTTCCTGCTGACAAACACAGAGCTCTGAGACTACTAGGTAAGGATGCCAGCGAGGCCCATATAAGGGAAGCTCACTGATTGCTTGATGGTGTGCCATCGTCCACATGCAGGATGCACAGAATTCCTCACTGCCTCCCACAGACTCCTATTGAGAATAGCTGCACTGCTGTTGTGATTTGCATTGGCTTATGCATCCTTTTGGAACTGACTGCTAGGAAACTTGGCCCAATTGCTGCAATACTCTAGGAGCCCATTGGGACATCATTTTGTCCTTATTTGATTTTTGTGTGTTATTTATTTGTAAGTTTTGTTTTCTTTTGAGGCAGGGTCTTACTGCTTAACACAGACTGGTCTGAAACTCAATAAGTTGCCCAGGCTTGCCTTGAATTCCTGATCTTCCTGCCTCTGCTACCTGAGTGTTGGGAATGATTACATAGCCTCACAAGTATACGATGTACCACTGTATCCTGCTCATTGGTTTTTTTAGTCTATCATTCCTTCCTTTTGGAATGAGTAGGCTTTAGTGGGAATAATCTCACAGTTTCAATCCCATTAGCACCAGATTTTAAAGGTGTGTGTGTGTGAATGCCACCTGTGCACAGGTGCCTGCAGAAGCCAGAAGCTGATGTGGGTTTTCCTGGCTCTGGTTGCAGGTGGTTGTGAGCTGCCCACTGTGGGTGGTGGGGACCAAATTCCAGTCCTCTCAAAAAGCAACAAGTGTCCAGCTACTGAGCCATTCCTCCAACCCCAGCACCAGATTTCTAGTTCATTCTATTAAATGTCTATAACTGTTGAAAAGATTTTTAATTTGGCAATGTTTCCTATAGTTACATTAATGAACATTATAATTAGTCACTTTGTCCAGGTAAATATGCTAAGCCCAAAAAATCTTTGCTTATTTCTCACAGGTCATAGAGAAGAGGTACTTTTTTAAAGAAGGTAATCAGGTTAGTATCTATCCTTTCTTGATAAAATGGTTTCTTAAATTTTGAAAGACATGCTTTCCAATTTTCCCCCAGAGGGATTTTTTTTTTTTTAAGTTAGGAGAAGCTCTTTGTAGGCACAGGCAGCTTACTCCTTCTGTCCTCTTGAATACAAAAGTAGAAAACCTAAACAGAGGCAAAATAAGGATCTGCAATCCAAGGAGAACCAGGGATGAGGTGATTCTGTAACGTACGGAAAGAAGAGAGTGTGTTTCCATCTGCACAGGCCTGTGTCGTCTTCCACAACACAGACAGTTCGTGCGGCAGCCCAGTGGCGGTCGTAGGGGCCTGTCCTTTCTGACTCCAGAGGACACAGACACCAATTTGCTGGCAAATGTTTTCCGTATTTGTCGAGTTTCTTTTTATTATTTTTCATCCAACGGTTTTCTGAATGAAATCTTAGAGAGCTGGTTTTATAGTGAGCAACAGGCTGTCATACAAGAACCGGAAACAGGAAGAAACAGTTCATTTTAACATTTGAATCTTTCTGCCCAAAACCTAACAGGCTTCTTTCTTGCCTACAGATTCCCGGCTTTTCTGATCGAAAGAGGTTTGGAGGAGGAGCATTAAAGAACTTCCATTATGACTGAGCTGCTGCCCTTTGGAAGAGTGAGCGAGCGGTGGCGGTTGTCACAGCTTTTCTCTTGCTGTGTCAGGTTATTAACTTCTCAGGCTCTGATAAAAACATCTCAAAATGCTACCTCACCCTCTCATGGAAAATTAAAAGAAAGCAACGAGTGGAGGATCCTACTTGGCCCCTGTTGTCTGTGTTGCTCCCCTCCCTGTCCCTGTTGATACCTTATGGAAGAGACTCTGAAGATGTGAGACACCGTCGAGCCAGTGCAGCGAATAATGAGTAGTGACAAGGGCAGCACAGAAAACTGACTCGCGTGAAATCAGAGGGCTTTGCAGGTCTGCGATTTTCCCACACTCACTGCTGAAGGCTTAATTAAGTTCTGGAGAAACGTATCTGTGTTGTTTTACCTTCTTGAGGGAAAAGGTCACGTTAACCAGCCCTGAGTTATCCACCCCAAACCATCTCTGTCATTTTTAAAGAAGCCAAGTGGTGTTTTTTCCTTTTCTCCAGCCTCATTACACACAGGGATGCCTAAAAATAGCAACCATGTCTCCTCCCCTCTCCCCTGGAAAAGGCTTGGTGTCTGGCAGAGACGGACTAATAGCTAGAGTTAAATAGAAATACAAATTAATAATACATGGAGAATAGACCAGAAAAGAAGGCTTCTGCGAGGCATTGACAGCTCCTCCACACTTTAGAGTGCAGCTTTCGAAGGCCCTTTCTGCTTTCTGTTTGGAAATCGGATGAAATCTGAGAGGAGCACAAGGGCAGGAAGAGAGATTTACTGCCTCTTTGGCCTTTTTTTTTTTTTTTTTTTTTTTTTGTCTGTTTGTTGTTGTCATGGTTTCGGGGTTTGGTTTTGGTTTTTAAAGGAAATTCGGATCCTGAAATACCCTTTAATATGATGAACAATAAACTAAGAATATTATCCTTGAGTTAACAGTGTGTTTATGAGAAAGCCAAACAAGTCCCAGAGTAGCACATTCACATAAATTATGAACCAGTGTCTGGGCTTTCATAATCACTGCCCAGCTTTTTAGCGGTGGTGTGTGTGTGTTCGCATAAGTGTTCATCATTATTGTTTAGCCCATCTTTTCTGCTGGTTTAATTCTCTTGGCCCAGTTCTTCCTTAGTTCATAAAATTGGTTGCAAAAAAAAAAAAGAAGAAGAAGACTATAATTGGCTGCTGCGTTCAGCACCTTATTATCCAGATTCTTCTCTGCTGCAGCTCTCAGCTCCCGAGCTTTGCACCAAATTAAAAAAATAGTACTATGAGTACACAGTTGCAGCTCGTTTAAAACCAGGTAAGAACTACAAGGTTCATTTTCTGTTCATTTTAATTAAATTTCAGGAGGACTCAGGAAGGCAGGGTATGCTGGGAAGGAGTGTGAGAAGCTCAGAAGGCATTTGGGAGTTGGAAGAGCACTTCTCCTGAGCTGGGCTGCTCTGTCTTTACCAAGGCCAGTTTCAGCTTCTTTACTGATTTGATTGTTCTTTGATATAATTAGTGTTATGCAGATTATGGTCTGGGTGTGGAATTTGTCACAAGTGTGTTGGGGAGATGCTGTAAAGCTGGGAAAGTAAAAACCAAATGCTACACGAACGCCTGTCTAACTATCGAAAACCCTTCGTATTTCTCCTTTTAAAATTAGATCAAGAAGCATGGACTGCAACTCAGTAGTAGAGAATTTACCTAGCATGTGCAAGGCATTACATTTGTTTCCAATATCAAAATTTAAATAAAAAGTAAGTTAAAAACCCATTCCTTTCTCTCTCCTTTCTTCCTAATTAAGAGCCCCACTCCCAATTTCCATCATTTCTTTCTTACTAAAAAATAAAAGAGTGGGCAGTGGTGCACGCCTTTAATCCCAACACTCCAGAGGCAGAGGCAGGCAGATCTTGAATTCTAGGCCAGCCTGATCTACAGAGCAAGTTACAGGGCAGCCAGGGCTGCACAAAGAAAGCCTGTCTTAAAAAAAACATAGAGACAGAGCTAGAGGTGGGAGAACACATGTTGCTCTTGCAGAGAACCTGAATTTGGTTACCAACACCCACATGGGCAGTTTACAGCCATCAGACTCACTTCCAGGGAATTCAGCTCCATCTTCAGACCTCTTTAAACACTATGCATACATATAAAATAAAAATAAATGTTTTTAAGGATGGGGAGATAAAAGCAACCCATCAGTGATGGCTACAGGATCCGACTTGATAAATTAATAATATTCTTCAATTCCATTTCTACCAGCTTGATTCCTTGACCTATACTTTTCCTTATAATTTTATAAACCTTTTTATTTAAAAATAAAAGTTGTAAATAAAATAAATATCACACACCCAAATTCATCTGACCCAAAGTCTCTATCTCTCAGCGAGCTTCGGTATAGTTAGAGCCACCATTGTGAAGCTGGGGAGTGCCTCAGTGAGTTTTACACCTTTACTGTCAAATAGATATTCTTTGCACTTAGTTTTGAGCTGTAGTTTCCTAAAGAAAAAAAATAAATTTTAATCTAATCATCTGAGGTAAATTTGTTACATTTATATGTAGCAGCAAAGAAAGCTGTTTACCAAATGAGTGTTATTTGCCCAACAAAAGAATGTCTTGAAGCATGACTTTTAAAGACTTAGTTATATATACTACTTGTAAGCAATATTTTAGTATAGTGCAAAAATAAGTTATTGTGACTGCCAGAATTGTCTTTTGATGTATTGGATCCTAGTTATCTTATTTTCTTGATTACACAAATTGCTAGTAATAGCTGTCATCTGTTTTTCTCCCTGAATAACTCAGAGTTCCTGACCAATATTCTCACTTAGTGTAGAGGAGGCAACCAGATGTAAACGCATGGTGGGCTCCATCCGTCCCTCGGGTGGACAGGACCCTTACTTGGAACCTAACTCAGTGCCACTGGGGTGCAGACACACTACTCCCCAGACAGTACCTTGGCATCTTAGAATATGGCAAGAAAATGTGAGGGTACTCACACCCCTCCTTATGCCTTCTCTCGCGAAGCGGGTTGTAAAAGTAGCTGCATTTTCCATGGACTTGCTCACAAAAATCTTTATTTTACAATCCCACTATTCATCCCAAGAGGAAAGAGCATCTTTATCCTCAAAGATGGAGACACCAAGCAGACTCAGAGTAAGTGTGCCTTACTGTCAGGCACGCCATACTAGTTTGAGGCTCAAACAGTCTCCTGATAATCTATCTACCTATTGTTGGTCCTCCACCATGAATGAAAAAAGAAAATGTCTTCCCTGGCCTAGGGCGTTTATCTATATAGTCACTGTTACTTTTCTGTCCACTGTGAAGTGGACTCCTTGGAGTTGACGTGCTGGGCCGTCAGACTGGAATGAAGTGTTCTAATTGCTGCCCTTATCCTCATCCCAATGATGTGTGTTAGAACACCTGACACAGGTAGAGAGCTGTGTATACATACTTAATGGATAGCGGTTTTGTTGAATTTCTTTAAAGTACAGGTAGCATCCTATTCTAAAAAATCTGATGGTTTCAGTGAGATTCCTGCATTGATTTAATACCTTAAAATTCAGAGGACACTGAGGGAAAAGAGGAGAGGAGCCGAGAAATGCATTTCTTCATAGTTGTAGAGCTGAATCACTGCACAGGGGAAAGAGGGGTGCCAGGGGTCTGACCCTGGGTCTCACCTATCCCAGTGGGTGTTTGCCAGTTTGCCAGGACTATTTCATGTGATTAAAGACCATATGACTTCGAGTTACAATTAATCCAAACCTCCATAGTGGGACGCCAGTCATTTGCCTTCAGACTCGGAAGTGTATAAAAATCTTTCAATCAGAGTCCAAGGCTTCATCTGTTTTCTTTCACATCCCCTAATTCTATATTATGCAATAAGAAAGCAATTTTATATTTTTGGACGTTTTTTAATCTTCTCGTGTGTGTTGGGGGTGAGGGGTCCCTGCAGAGGCCAAGAAGACAGCCCTGGATCCCTGGACTGGCATTACAGGCGAATTCTTAACTGCTGAGCATCTCTCCAGGTCCCAGATTTTATATATTTAACAGACAAGGCAGGTGAGCCCCAATGCAGGTAGTGAAGCTCTCGCCTTTCAGAAAGACAAGTGAACTAAAGAGTGTGGAACACATAGATTGTACGTCATGAACTTTATGAGACCATTATAACAAAGTTACCAGCGTTCAACCTTAATCTCTCCTCAGTGATCTAATCCGGTCCTCTCCCTCTCGGAGCCATGCCATCCACTGGTAAACCAGGAGGTGTTGTCTTTGGTGTATTGCTGTCATTCTGGGGGATGCCTGTTTCTGGTCCAGGTACAGCTATTTCTAATCTGTGCCCTGCTGGTTGTCATAACCCACCTCTCCTGTTGACAGTGTTTCGTTTTCTCAGCTAACTCAGCACTAAGCTTTACCAAGCAGTGGTCGAAAATGCAACCTCTAAGACGTAACAACTTGCTCAGAACTGCCTTTTATTTGGTCACTGTCCTGCAGCCCCCTAAGCTTGAACAACCATCCTGAAGTGGTGGCTTGGTGGGTCTGTCATGCTGTACTTCTCATTATCCCAAATTCCTGGATGTTTTCCATGTTCTTGGAGGTAGAAATGACCACAAGCATCCCATCGATAGGTATGTAGGCACAGATCATTTTAAGGGACCCATTTTCCAGACATATTTCTGCATATATACCTTTAACAGAATTGACCCGCTTCTGAACGCAGCCCGTTGCTAGTTATTACTTCCCACCTCAGCTCACCATCACCTTGTCCTCTTCGGCAAAGGAACAGCTCACTTGAAGTACTGTGGTAGATGTCCCCAAGGTACCAACCAAAGGACAGTTCTAAATAGTTACTTCTTTTAAGGACTTGGCCTATTCCAGTCCCCACAATTATCTTTAAATATACTTGTCTTACTCACTGCTCTACTGCTGTGAAGAGACACCTTGACCAAAGTAACTCTTACAAGAGGGAACATTTTTAGGGGCTTGCTTACAGTGTCAGAGGCTTAGTTCATGGTTATCACAGTGGGGAGCGTGGCAGCAGGCACGGCAGGCATGGTGCTGGAGATGTAGCTGAAAGCTGCCTCCCGAGCATCAGGCAGAACAAGAACCTGCGCCTGCCGTGGGCTTCTGAGACCTCATAGCCCACTCACTCCTAGTGACACTCCTCCTCCTCCAACAAGACCACACCTCCTAATCCTTCTCCTCTTACCAAAAAGTCCCACTCCCTGCTGGGACACTGACGTTTATTAGCGCATGGGGTCCTCTTATCCATACCACCACAATACCTAATACTCATGTGTGAAAATGACACACTGAAGCCCATTGTCTTCTACAATTGATACATACTAGTAGAAAGCAGAAACAACCAAAACTAAGATCTGAAAATGTTAAAAACTGTCAACACTTCCTTTAAAACAGTTTTTTAAATGGGAATTCCCGAAAAATAATGCAACAAGGAAGTTTGAAAATAAGTAACTGTCAACAGTTTTCTTTAAAACAACCTTTTTAAAAATGTGGAGTTCCTGAAAACAAAGCAAAGAAAGCTTTAGTGAGAAGAAGCCAACCAATTGCTGCTTGCTGTTGGTTGCTCACCGGAACCTATTTCTGTGGGCACTGCACACCTTGGTCACAATACAGAGAAATCAAACTGGAACTAGGCTGGGTACTTGTTCCCTGCTGGTGAGCTCTCAGTACCTGAAGATGCTCTGTAGACTGCTGGGGAGATTGCCATCGACAATCAGTGTGACAACAGCACCCATCTCAGCCTTGAACCGGGAGTACAACAGTATCAGCTAGATAAAATAAGCCCGGTGTTTGTTACCGGGTAGCCAACCACTATCTGATTGGATTTGCTGTCTACAGCAGGGGAGGGAATTCGTGTCTGGTAGTGTAAGCTCCAAGAGCCCATCGCTCAGATAAAGGCCCTAGAGGGGAAGCTATTGCTGTTGCTTTGCTGGGTAGACGTGATTTGCCCATCAAACTGTCTTCTAAGTAACTCGCTGCCATCAGCTCTGTTCAGAGAATCTTCTTTTTGGCAGTAGTCAGAGTTATTGCAGGGACTCATAACTGGATAAAGTACTGAGAATAAATGACAATTGGATGTTCATCCATAAATGAAATATTTGTGTTATGCCCTCCAAGACTCAGAGAACATTGTAGAAGGCATAGAAAGAGACGGAGAAGGTCCAGGGTGGTGGTGGATGCTGGTTTCTAAACATGACATGACTGTGCATTCTTGAACTCAGCTACTGTAGTTGCCCACACACAATCTGCACGAGATTGGATCCATTGATGCCCTGTCTTGATGGGAGAAGAATCCATGCTCCACCAAGGATTTCTAGACAGTTAATGATTGTTGGAGGGAGAGATGTTCAGGAGGCAGCGTTCTGACAGGCAGGGAGGGAAAGATGGCATACTTCTGTCTCTTCACCCAGGACAAAGATCTGACAGGCACCCACTCCCCTTGGTAAGCCCCACTCCACATGTCCTACGCAGGTCCAGACAAGGGCTGTGTACCAGCCAGCCAGCCAGGGGCCAACCAGCAAGGGTTGCGGGTGGGGTAGAGAGGGTCGGGGAAGACAGCCAGCCACAGAAGAAGCTGGAAAGCAGGATGGACAATACACAGATGAAGTAAGTGAACTTTGGGGCAGCACCATAGATTAATAGAAATGGGTTAATTTAAGTTAAAGAAAAAAAGCTAGTGAGAAACAAGCCAAAGCTAAGACCGGGCATTCATAATTAATAACAAGTCTCTGTGTCGCGATTTAGGGGCTAGTGATCCAAGAAAGCCCGCTACAGGAAGAAGTAGAGTGGAGGGAGGGTAAAGGCAAGGGGTGAACGTGATTGGGATACACTATAGACATGTATGAAGAAGATGCTATAAAAGTCCATTAGTATGTATAATTTATGTCAATAAAAAGGGAAAAAAGGCAAGACTTTGTCATATAATGCTTCTCTCTGCCTATCAAAGTAAGACTCTAAGTATAAAAATGGTTATAAAAGTTAACATTTTTATTTCCCCAGCCCTTTCTTAATAAACAGGCTAGACAAAGTGTAATATTCAGTTAAAGTAAATGGTCCCAGTAGCTGGGAAATGAAGCCTTTTTCAGTCAGGCTTCCAATAATTCCCTTTCAACACAAAGAAACACCTAAGTAAGGTGCTGAATTATAGATCATTAGAAGTAATACTTACTGGTAAATGACTGGGCTTTGATATTGAATGCAGAGGTGAGTAAAAAAATTAAACCTCATTCATACCTATTTTTATGCGAACAACTTTTCTAAAATGTAAAACTACAAAAAACAGCATTAGATGATACAATCTTGCTACTTCAGATGTATGGGCTATTCATTCTTAAATGCACAAAGGAGGAGGAGGAGGAGCAGCAGCAGCAGGAGGAGAGAGAGAGAGAGAGAGAGAGAGAGAGAGAGAGAGAGAGAGAGAGATTGATTTTCAGGGCTGGTAAGATGGGTCAGCAGATAAAGGCTCTTGCTACCAAGCCTGACAATGAGAGCTGGATCCAGAACCCACATGGTGGAAGGAGACAACCAATCCCTTGGGTCCGTGGTTCTCAGCCTTCCTTGTGCTGGGAACCTTTAGTGCAGTTTGTCATGCTGTGGTGATCCCCAATCATAAAATTAGTTCATTGCTACTTCATAACTGTTATGAATTGTTATATGAATATCTGATATGCAACCCCTGTAAAATAGTTTGCCATGCCCAGGGGTCATTACCCACAGGTTGAGAACCACAGCCTTTGAGGGCTCTCAGACTCCATAGTGCACTGTGATATATACAACATCCTCACCCCACAAAAAATAAAGTACATTGAACATTTCCAGAAATTTTGCATCCCGTATTTAATACAAGGTTATCTAAATATGTCATATTACAGGTCACTCACCTAGAGAAGAATCTGCAGTTTAGGATCCAAAGAGAGGATGCATGCCACGAAAATCTTGGAAGTGCAGTGGGGGCAGGAGGAAAGCTGAGGTTTTGTGGTTTAGTTTTGTTATTTGTCTGAGTCAGGGGGCACACTGTGTTGCCCAAGCTGGCCAAGGCTAAAGTGAACTTCATCACCTGCCTCAGCCTCCGAAGTACCTGGGATCACAGGGCCTGAGAGTTTAGACCTTTTTCCTGGGAGCTTCTGCAGAGAGTGGAGTTGCTGTCTCCTAGATCAGAAAGCCGAACACCCCTGCAGGCCTCAAATTGCTGCTCCACACATTCCCAGTATTGGTTCATCAAACCCCTCCTCATGCCAGTTTTTACCGGCTTTGTCTTTGTTGCTCGCTGCTTAGGTATTGTCCTCTACTCTGGTCCAGGATGCCTTTGACTTACCCCAACAGTCTCATCCTTCTGCCGGTTGTATTTTTAAATGGGACTCTCCTAGCCAGGTCACTTCCGTTCCCTCTGCTTCAAAAGTCTGCCCAGGCACTCCTGTTCCTGGAAGGCTTCTCAATAGGATCTCCCACCCACTCCTCCTTTCAGGCACCCTGTCCCCTACACAGTGTACTGCCACTTCTCCATCCACACATACAGTTCCTACTGCTCAAGCCCTTTCTAAGTTTCACCCGAGGTGATGTGGTTCGGGCATCATCTCCACTAGGAGGCCTTCCCTGGCTCTCCTAGTCTGGGCTTGAGGCCCAGTCTAATCACTCCAACAATGCCCTGGACCTGTAGTTACTATCTTAGCACACATACACTGTTGAAATGGTCCTCAAGAAAACTGAATGAATATGTGCATACATTAGTTAAAATAGGAAGTCATTTGACAAAGACTCCAGGCTACCTGTACGTGTGGGGTTTTTTATTCTCTTTCCCTGGATGTGTGGCTCACAGTGCCTGGCATAGTGATTGCAAAGTAAATGCTTAATTCATTGTTATATAAAAATAGACAAGGCGGGAAATGAAGTTATCCGCATTGGAGGAATTCCTAAAGTCTATTAATAGGTTAATTCTAGTTTAAATATTTCCAGGGCCCTGAAGAAATTTTCATCCAACCAGGAATCTGTTGTCACCTTCTTCCTCCTTCGGTCTCTCACACAATGAAACTTTTTTCTTCTTGAGACAGGGTCTCTACCTATATATCCCTGACTGTTGTGGAACTCACTCTGTAGACCAGGCTGATCTCAAACTCAGAGACCCTCCTACCTCTGGCTCTCAAGTACGGGAATTAATGGAGGGTGTGCACCTCTACACCCAGCATGAAACACTTCTAAAGTCTGTCTTTGGAGCTGGCTCCATAGAAGAGTGGAGCAGTGGGGCTCTCCTTTGTCTTTTATTAGCTCCTGTATTGTTTTTCAACCACCAAAGCAAGTTAGAGGGAAGCTCCAAGGTACTCATAAACTCAGAATTTAATAGAATTTCCTTTCTACTTCAGGTCTGCACACAGTTAGCCTCGATATTACAGGGGTTTCAACTATGTTCATAGCAGCATTGTTTGTCATAGCCAGAACCTAGAAACAACCTAAATGTCCCTCAACTCAAGAATGGTTAAGGAAAATGTGATACATTTACACAATGGTGTACTACACAGCAGAAAAAAAAAATAATGACATCTTGAAATGTGCAGGCAAATGGATGGAGCTAGAAAACATCATACTGAGTGAGGTAACCCGGACCCAGAAAGACAAATATCATGAGTGACTTTTAGACATAAAGCAAAGAAAAACCACCTTACAATTCACAATCCCAGAAAACCTAGACAATAATGAGGACCCTAAGAGAGACCTACATGGATCTAATCTACATGGGACATAGAAGAAGACAAGATCTCCTGAGTAAATTGGGAGCATGGGGACCATGGGAGAGGATAGAAGGGGAGGGGAGAAGAAGGGAGGAAAGTGGAGAAAAATATATAGCTCAATAAAAAAAATAGCAATAATAATACAGGGGTCTTCATACGCTTCCAATTTTACATATAAATTCCAGAGTTTATACCTTATAAGTCATTTGTCTATGCTCTAACATGCTGAGATTCCCTGTAAGCTGCCTGCCAGAAATTAGTCCACAAGTTTGTACCAACATCCCTTACATGGCCCATAAGACTGGCCCTGCATGCGGAACACCTCGTGCATTTCACTGCAGCTACAGTATACCACAGTCCTGAGCTCCGAAGGTTGCTCCATCCCATGATCTAAAGACAGGATCTCAGAATGGAAGCCTGAATCCAATTTAGACTTGCACCACATGATGGTTTAGTTATACAGTTAAATTATCTGTCACTGTCAGCCAACCACTCTCAGACTTATTAGTGGAAAGCATGCTGTTCTGTTTGCTCGGGAGTCTTTCAGTCAACAATCTAGGCTCGATTTAGCTGCCGGTTTCTTTGTTCTCACCTGGGATCCCTCGCTTGTCTGCAGTCAGTCATCTGGCAGCGGACTGTTTTTAGTGTGGGCTGTGGAGCTGCCGCCTGGCCCCCGGAAGCTAGTTCCACCTCTTTACATATTAGTCTGAGACAGCTGGAAATGCACAAGAATCTACGACCAAACTGTCAAGCCTCTGTGTTACGTTTTCTAACATCCTGTTTACCAAGATCCAGAGAAGAAAAAGACTCCACCTCTTGGCTTGTTTTTGTATAGAGTTTCACTGTGCTGTCCCCGCTGGCCTTGAACTCAAAATCCTCTTGCTGCAGCCTCCCAAGTGCTGGGTATCACCATGCCCAGCGAAAGACTCTCTTGATGGAAGAACAGTAAAGTCATGTTCAAGGGGCACACAGAAACATGGGGAAGAGCTAGGCAATGCTTGTGATGTATTCTAAAGTTTTCTTTTCTCATCCCTTCCTTTACTCCTCCCTCCCTTCCATCCTTCTTTCTTCCTCCTTTCTTTCTTCCATCCTTTTTTCTTCCTTCTTCCTCCCTTCCTTCTTCCTCCCTCCTTTCTTCCTTTCATCTTTTCTTCCTTCTTCCTCCCTCCCTCCCTCCCTCCTTTCTTTCCTCCATTCTGAGATAGATGTCCTATATTAAGTTACATGCTGGTGCGCAGAGGACTGACGAGGTAAGAGAAGACCATTTAAACTCACATCTCAAGGTTAATCAGCAAAGAAAAACATTTCCATATATGTCTTTGAGCTGAAGATCACTCCTCAGGGCCACACTGCATTCTGATTTTGGAACCAACCAACAAAGCAGTAGCAAGACTTCTTTGTGCACGGACCTAGGCTGCTGTGGTCTTGTGTGTCCTGCCCTCCTTATCTAGAGCCAATGCAGGTTTGATGTAAATGCTTTTTATTTCTTTTCTCCCAAATTTTATTATAAAAATTCCCAACCCTTAGGTTCTAGGTGCTATCTAGCAGTCATTCATGTATTCGGAGCTCTGGTCCTTTACCTATTAGTGTCTTCATAGCTCAATAAACACTTTACTGTTAGAAACCTCTAGTTACAAAAGTTGGATTTAGAGTTCTTTCTTCTTTTTACCAACATTTCAAAATTAGAATTTAGCTTCTGGAAAATCACCTAGCCTGATCAACTCGGCTACTTTTCTTTCCTGTGCTGTTGCATCTGAGTTTGTAATAAAACCTACTTTGCAAAACTGTTTTTGTGAAATTAAACGAGGCAGTGTCTGTGGGGAAAACCTGGCACAGACAAGCCTAGGTGTACGTCCCTTCCTGAACACCACCAGCCACGAAGTTGCTACCTTCCAATGGCTACAGCGAGTGGCTAAGATGAAGGACAAGCAAGGCCAGGAGAAGGCAGCCGGAGAGCAGTCTGCTCTCGGGACTAAGGCATTAGGAAGCAAATGACTAAAGAGGGTATAAGCATACCTAATGTATTCTAGGAAATCAAGATGAATGTCAGTAAACATCCCAGCTTGTTCTAAGTTCAACACTCTCTCAACAGTCCTAGCTCTGGGATCTGAACTCTTCTGTAGGAGTCTGAGTCAGGGAGCCTCCAATCCTGGTCCTCTTCTTCTCACACCTCTTGCCCTTGGGTCAAAGCACATAGTGTTCCTTCCACGGTCACTGAATCCTGGCCCTGTTCCTTCCTGGCTTGAGTCTGGACCGAGAAAGACTTCTGTCACATCTGGCACGTGCTAACTCCCACAGTTCCCTTTTCAGCTTTAAATCCTCTGCCTTTGGGGAGAAATCTTCCTTACAGTGGAACAAGTCAATATTTACTTCCAGTGAATGGAACCAGTTCTCTGCAATGTTCTCAGAGATGACCTGGGTTAATAATAAAAAAATAGTTGTGCAAGAATTGTAGATGTTAGCACGTTGGACTTTCTGCCTAGTATGTCAGTTAGGCAACTCTGCTTTAAGTGACATGCTGACCAAGGAGATATAATGAACTGGTGAAAACAAGAATACTCTGAGAGGTTATAAAGAGAAACAGACGCCTTGGTACCTCACAAGCTCCCTGGCCTTGGTTAAAATGGCAGAGTTAAAGGTAAGAAACCCTCTGTCTGGATTTGGATTAAGATTGGAGACTGTATCTGGGGGTGTCACTTAAACAGGAAAGCCTACACTTAGCAGGTTTCAAGCACCAACACTAGAAAAAGAAGGGAAAAGAGATGGAGAGAAAGTAAGAGAGGAGAGAAGAGTGGAGAGATCTCTAACAAGTTTATTGTGCCTTCTTCAGCAAGAATTTGTGGGGTTTTCTGGTGTCAGAGTTGAAAAACACTTGTGGGTGGGGGCTATAGAGATTGCTTACTAGTTACTAGCACTTGATGCTCTTCCAAAGGACCTGAGTTCAATTCCCAGAACTTGTCCATCTGCTCATAACTCTAGCACCTTCTTCTAGCCTTTGTGGCCCCTATAGTCTCATGTGCATACACACACACACACACATACACACACACACACACACACACACACACACACACACAAACACATACACACGAAAAGGAGCCTGACCTAAGGTCCTATGCTCTGGAGGGACAAGGAAAAGGTGACCAAAGAAGCAATTGTATCCTTGCCTTTGTTAATCTCTAATACTGTCTTGCGGGTCAATGGGCATGTTGAGAGCTCCCCTTCTAAATGAGCATGTGCATTTCTCTATGTGTCTCCTTCCCAGCTACTCTCAGCCATCCTTGTGACTGCAACTCCCTGGACTGTTTTAGGCCAGCCAGTTTAATGTGCTTAACCTGCTTAATCATTTGGTACCTCCGACTCAGCCTTGAACATTACTTTCTTATTTAGTGTGCCATTGAGAACGAGTGCCATGTGTTACAGGTGCTGGAGGTTTTAACTATGCTCACTGTAAACCTGGGGTATAGGTGCTTTTTTTCCTATTTTAAGCCAATAAGGAAAGCAAGGCTCATAGAGACTAAGAGACTCACCCAAAGTTCCTGCTGGTAAGTGATGGAGGCCACAGTAGAACTTGGGTTTGTTGGAGTTCAAATTTCAGGCCCCCAAAAGAGAAGATTGGTGGCACCTGCCAGGCTGGAGCCTTTGGGGCAGGAAGAAGAGAATGTTCCCAGGGTCTAAAACTCTGCCTAGTTGTCAGGCGGTAGTGGTGTACTACTTCAATCCGAGCATTCGGGATGCAGAAGCAGGAGGATCTCTGTGAGTTCAAGGCCAGCCTGGTCTACAGAGTGAGTTCTAGGACAGCCAAGGCTACACAGAGAAACCCTGTCTCAAAAACCAAAAAACAAGCAAGCAAACAAACAAACAAACAAAACCTCTGCCCATTGCTAAGCTCACTGCATACAGCCGGAGCTCGAATATCCTGGCACATTGGTGCAAGCTGGGTAGAAGAGACCCATTAGGCCTCTTCCTGGGATTCAGGAATAGAACACCTCCAGAAAGCTTTTCAATCAAAGCTGGGATGGTAAATCAAGCAGTTCCCTAATGAATAGGCACCTTGAAGGTGCTCCTCACAGCAGCAAAGAGGTTTCCTTCTCTATCTTTGGGTCAGACCTAGAGTCAGCTCTCATTCGGTGTCTGTTCATGATATTGCAGTTAATGCACCCTGGGAATGGAGAAACTTCTGGAGGGAAGCTGTTCCTAGGTGGAGTGACGACATAGGACTAGGCCAGAGGTCATGCCACATCTGAAGGCACAAAATATGCAGGAAGATCTGTGCACCCCAGGAACCTAGTGTTTCAACTAAACTGGAGCTACTGCATGAATGAGGGTGCCCAGGAGAGGACCTGAACCGAAGGGGAGTGGGCATAGGTAATGGGAACCTAATGGTGCCCATTTGCCAGTGGTGCAACTGAAGATGGAGAGGAAGGAGAATTCATAAGAGTTTTGCTTTGTTTTCTGATGGAAATCCTATGAGGAAGCTCATCACGGGAGGAAGCATCCTTACCATTTATAAATAAAACATATCTAAAATCCTGTCCTGCTGCAATGTTTAAGCAACTTAGTATGCAAAACGCCACGGCATGTAAATGGCACGCTGGCCTTTGTTCTCAGTTTCAAAGGCTTGCTCAAAGCAGACAAAGGCTGCTGTCTCTCCAGAGGTCAGGAATCTTAACACAGAGAGCCAGTTTAAGGCACACCCATCCCCATCAATAAACAGTATAAAACCTAGCTTGAAATGCCCCTCATGCTTCCTCCATCATTTCAATGGCTATGTCAACACAAAACCTCGGATGAGATCACATTTACATAAAAGCACAACGAGAGGAAGAAAATTCAAAAGCTAAAATAACGGCATGAGGTTTAAGGTGGGCTCACTGCATTCTGGACTCTGTCACTTCGTTTCTACCTCTCCTCACATGCTGGCATTGGGCCCCACCAGCAGACACCTGACTCGCTAGCTTGGAGCCTGAGATGATTCTTATGGTTAATGACAAAGGGGGACCCACCGGCCTACAGTTTCCTACTGGGCTGCACTAAATGACCATCGATGTACTAGCTTGAGACAACACTATACATTCTCCTGCACTTCTGGAGAGTGAATGTCTGAAATCAGTCCCATTGGGCCAACAGCAAAGTGTCAGCGTGGTTGAGTTCTTCTGGAGACTCTGAGGAGGATTTCTCAGGCTGCAGTTCCTAGAGAGTACACATCTTCCCAGATACACCTCTGTTTCCTCTTTTTCAACCAAATTACTTTTCACCTTTGTCCTAATAGAACACCTGGGATTTCGCTTAGAGTGCCTCAAACCACGGAAACCACGGGGGACGCTCCCCTTCCCCAAGGCTGTTTACTCAACCGAGTCCAGCAGAAGGACATCTGCTTGCTTTTTCAAGTTCTTTCCAAGCTACCTTAGCAGCTGAAAAAACGACCTCGGGCCATGGGTGAGGCAGCCAGAGGTTAGGGAGACCTTCCTTAGACTCCTCCCCAGACAAAGGAGGGAGACCAGAGGAGACAGCCAGTAAGAATGTGACAGAGACCAGCGTGAAGAATCGACTGCCTCTCTTCAGGTTTTTATTGAGATGGGCATGAAAACTGCAATTTGCTCCCAAGACTTGAGAGCTGGGAAACCTCTGCTCTCCTTCCAAAGCCAGTCCAGGAAGACAGAATTAGCCGTGTTAGAATATGTTTGTTTTTTAACTTTGCAGTAAAGGCTGGTCTATGCAGCACCAAATGCAGGAATGGCATTTAACAAAGAAGGGATGGCTAACTTCACCTCTGACCATGAGTTTACCTTTTAGTGTTTGTTTGCTTGGAAACAGGAAGAAGTGACTTGTTCTGGCTGTCACTAATTTATCCCTTAGCTTTAGGGCCAGTTAAAGCTCCACACTGGTTCCTTTACCTAACATTTGTGAGCCCCAAATTGCTTCTCCGGTTCTTTGGTCTGTTTTGTTTGTTTGTTTGCTTCTTTTTCTTTTTGGTCTTTTGTTTCTTTCAGATAGAGTCTTGG